ATAAATAAAATTCATAAAGTGTGATTATAAAATGTTCTTAACAAACACACCACAGTTATACCAAATGAATTAAACAATTCAAATGACTTTGCCTAAGGTCTGCATTTAATGATAAGCGTTCTAACACTGTTGTGTAATGTTAATACATGTTTAGAAGGATATGCTTTGTCCATGATCCCCATGTGCCCTCTAAATGACTTCTGAATCTTTCTGATTTATTCGTGATTTTTTTTTTTTTGAGATAGCTTAATGTACTTAAAGGCTAGAAGGCAAACTATGTAATGAGCTGGGGAATATCCATCACTATCCACTCTGAATTTAAAATATGATAAGCCTTAATTTCTCGAATGGTTCACATATTGTTGAAAACATAATTTATCATAAAGCACACAGAAATTTACTGGCAGAAGTAGAATGTAAATTTCCAGTGTCCATATCTTATTTAGGTTCAAGTGCTCTATAAAGGATAAATAAATTAGTTAATATTTAGTTTCTGATAAGGATAGTGCTGATTAAATTTACTTCAAAAAATTTTAGATTATTTTAATCTGTACAAGTTAAAATCATCAGGTGATTTTTTTTTCCCTCCTGGATTGAGGCATTGTGATGGCAATATAAAGTTCCATAAGATAAATACAGGACCAGCCTTATTTTCTTCCATCTTATAACAAAATTTTAGATCAGGAAAAAAAAATTTAAGGCAGAAAACAGAAATGAGTTAAAATTGTTGGGCCTTAAAGTGATGTTCTCATATCTGCTCTAAATTTAATAAAATTCATTGTACCTTTATCATTCAACTTAGGGTTGCAATACATTTAAGCTTTTATCTGTATAACCAAATAAAATGGAAATCAACCTCGTTTTAAAGTCAAAAAAAATATTGTGACCAGATGTCATCATTTATAATAAAATATCAAATACATAAATGTTCAAGAAAATCAAATCTGGTTATTGCTTATCATTGAGGAGCTGTGAGTGTTAGTTAAAGTCAATTAGACTTTCAATTAGTGGGCAACAGAGACACACCAGCCATTTCTAGAAAGCTTAAGGCATTTGTATTCATTAGAGAATTAAGATGGACCCTCAGTTAGTTCAAGCCACCACTCTTCTGTTCTTAAAAATTCAGCTGTGTAGTAGCCTTGTTAGTTAAGCTGTATCAGGGGTCAAGTTTGAAGACTGCAGTGTACAAGAGTAGTTCTTTACAGATATCACTTTGAGTTTATCAGATATGATTTGTGCTTATTAAGTGATGACACCTGTGAAGATGCCCCACTGGACTATGATGTCAAGTGAAAGTAAAAATAAGACTGCATCTTGAGCACTTATATAAGCCAGGCACCTTTTTACATTGATTGTCTTATCACTGTATTATAGATAAAGTACAGAGAAGTTAAGTAACTTGTCCAATATCACATAGCTGGACAAGAAGCAGAGTCCAGGTACAACTTCCATGGATGCATTTCTAAATCCCACACTCTGATTGTAGCTATTAATCTTTGTGCTAACACATCCTTGCAATTATATTTAAACAATCATGGCTAGGTGTTTTTTAAGAAGGCTAAATGAATCTTCAAGTTATCTCAAAACCCATTAAATCTTAGATGTTAGACTACATTTTAATGTTGTGTCTTTAACAAATTTGGAAATTATTTAACCTTTAATATAAATTTCATTGAAAGCTTTTTTACAAACAATGCTCTATTGGGGAGGACATAATTGTTGAGAATGTATTTAGATTTTTTTTTTTTAACTATGGACCTTATACTTTTTTAGCTGCAAAACTAAGATAAGTAATAGCTTTGTGAAACTTAGATACGTTAATAACTTGGTGCATGTGATTCACTGGTATCAGTTGACAGGCACAGTTTTTTGTTTTTGTTTTTTCAAGATAAAGCAGCCTGTTGTAAACAGGTTCCTGAGTTTGCTTATCAGTTCTTACAGGTTGTACTTTATTTTTGTTGTTTGTCTTTCTTTTTTTGTTTAATGGAAGCTTTTGGGTTTCCCATATAGAGATCATGTCATCTACAAACAGAGATGATTTCACTTCCTCACTTCCAATTTGGAGAGCTCTTATTTCCTTTTTGTTGACCGACATAATACCTCAAGTGTACTGTGCTGCCTGGAAGTGGTAAAAGTGGGCATGCCATGCTTGCCTGGTTCCTGATCTTAAAGGAAAAGCTCTCACATTTTCATGGTTGACAGTGATGTTCGCTAAGGGCTTTTCATATGTGGCTTTTACTATATTTAAGTAGGTTTCTTTTATTCCTTGTTTGTTGTTTCTCTCATGAAAAAGTGCTGAATTTTGTCAGAATTTTTTTACTCATCTTTTGAAACAATTGTGTGACATATTCTATTCTGCTAACACAGCATATCACATTTATTGATTTTTAAATATTGAATTATATCATTTTATGTTAACTATATCATTTTAAATGTTAAACTCTATCATTTAATCCCAGAGATAATCATGTGTGCTAATAATTGTATGATCCTTTCAATAGGCTGTTAGGTTTGATTTGCTGGTATTTCATTGAGGAATTATGCATCTGTATTTTTCATATGGCCTGTGGTTTTCTTTTTGGAGGTGTCTTTGGCTTTTGTATCAAGGTAGTAATGCTATCCTCATAAAATGTATTTAGAAGTGTTTCCTCGTCTTCAAGTTTTCAGGCGAGTTTGAGAAGAATTGGTGATAATTCTCCTTTAAATGTTTTCTGTAATTCACCAGTGAAGCCATCAGTTCCTGGGCTTTTTGAGAAGTTTTTGATTGCTGGTTTAATCTCTATTCTAGTCCATTAAGATCTTCTTTGTTTCATCATTTCATCTTGGAACAAATTATTTAGGATATTGTTGGAGAACACTGTTGAAGTTGACCATATTTTTTATTTTTCCTTTTTTTCTCATTTCACCATTTATAAACTAAATAAAAACAAGAAAGGGCAGAACAGAAATGCTTATCCTCAATGAAATTCCCTGATTTAAAATTTCAATTAATAAATGGAAGAATATTTAATAATCACAAAGATTATTAGCCGGGCGCAGTGGCCCATGCCTGTAATCCCAGTGACTCTGGAGGCTGAGGCAAGAGGATCAGGAGTTCAAAGCCACCCTCAGCAAAAAGCAAGGCACTAAGCAACTCAGTGAGACCCTGTCTCTAAATAAAAACAAAATAGCGCTGGGGATGTGGCTCAGTTGTTAAGTGCCCCTGAGTTCAATCCCCAGTTAAAAAAAAAAAAAAAGATTATTAGCAGCTAAAATAGCTTTCCATTTTAAAAAAAAGAGACATAATTCTTGTTGCATGGAGCAGGGGGAGGTTCAGAGCATTGCTAATGAATTCAGAGAATCATTTGATGACATAAAAAATACTTCTTTGCACTCAAGAGGGTGATGGCTTCAGAAAGCATCTAAATGTGTGTGTGTGTGTGTGTGTGTGTGTGTGTGTGTGTGTGTGTGTGTCTGTGTAGAGAGATTTTTTCTCTCTGGCATCTCTTTCTTGGCATATCCTGTTTGGCCTTACCCCTACGAGAACTTCCTGGAAAGCAGATAGTTTTGCTTTGATCAAGAAATACTTTTGATTGATTACTAGGTCATGCTTTAAACCCAGAACAAATGCCAGAGCTAAGCACACTATGTGAAAGTGTTCAGTCTTTGAATAAATGACGGATGTTTTTGGTTTGTTAGCGTGATGCAAAGTCTTCAAGTTGTGATTCAGACTCTTTGACTCAAAAGTCCAATAATGTTGATTTTGGGCCAGAACTTGGAGTAGCTGGGAAAATATCAAGAAAAACAACTTTTATCAAAAGGCAAATTAGTTTTTGAAGCGGGTGTTAATTGGCAGCCTAGGTGTTTCATTATGAAGCTGAATTTTTAACAGTTGTTACTTGGTTACTATGAAAACAGCAGCCAGAGGAAAACTCTGCAGTGTAAAGGTTATGTCTCCATCTCGCCCAATCCCTCTGCCTAGGTGTCAATAACGTGAGTCCCATTTTAAAACACTTACATGCAGCCTAGAAACTATGTCTGTGTTGGCTGTTTATTTAAACTTTATTTCTGGATTACAGGCATATTTTATAGTGAATAGGTTCAGAGATGATCACTTTCAAACTGCAGGTGTTATATTTTTCTATTTTGCAAATCTCTGGATTTGAATGAAATTCAATACCTTATTGGGAGAACTGTGTTTTCTTTGTAACCTACAGCATAAAGCAAACCACAGGAGATATGTAAGTTTTAACTATAGATATGATTCTTTGGGATGAAGCAAGGAGAAATGTGGTGCTTGTCTTTCCATATGGATGAACCCACTGCTGATTAAAACAAAAAACAAAAAACACCTGAGGTCCATTGGTGTAGTGAAATCAAACTATTTATTCCCCTCCCTAATAGTAAACAGCATGAAGAAAATTTGTCTCCATACATCCATAACCCTGGGATTATGTATATTTTGATATTTTCTCCATTCTGACATTTTACTAGCTGACTAATGAAAAAAAAAAAAGAAAGAAAGAAAGAAAGAAGAAAAGAAAGGTGTTTGTTCCGTGAGTCTTTAACCTCTAGGAAGGAATTCCTATACTGTCCTGTCTATAGTCATCCTTTCCATCTCGGTTGTGGTCAGTCTCCAGTTTTATGGTGATCTTTAGGGGAAAAAAAATTATCTGTTTGGATTACTTGTAAACAGTTCCCCCAGCCAGATCATTTAATTATGTGATCACAGTGTTATTGAAACCTGTGATGTTGATTTTGTGGAGCAAGTATGACTCTATTTGTTGTCCTTCAAAGCAAGAAACAGGTTTTTCTCTTGTCTTGCAAAGTCTCAGAGAGGGTTTTACAGAAAAAAAAAAATAATGAATGCTTCTACTGCAGCATGTCACAGGGGAGGCTGGGACAATAGTGAGCTCATGCGCACCGCTGATCCTTGCTTGCTGGGCAGCATGTTCACCTGGATTTCTGACAGCTATGTGGGTTCACTAGAGACCTCTGTCATTCTGTCCCTCCTCTCATAGGCAATGGTCGAGACAGTTAACAACCTCCTTCAGCCACAAGCTTTGAATGCTTGGAGAGACCTGACTACAAGTGATCAACTACGTGCAGCCACCATGCTGCTTGACACCGTGGAGGAGAGTGCCTTTGTGCTGGCTGATAACCTTTTGAAGACTGACATTGTCAGGGAGAACACAGACAATATTCGTAAGTGGCCTTTGTTATACAGAAGGTCCAGAGACCCTTGTATAACAGGAAAGGGAAGAGAAAAATATTATACCAGGCACCCCATATAAATGACAATTTATTTCAATAGAGATAAGTTGTTCTTTCACTCAGATGAAAAGAGTGTCAACCTTTCAGGTTAATCAGGTTGAAAGTCCTGTATGTTAAACTCTTAGGACATTCTGAGATGGGATATATGGGATGTATCATTCTAGGATGGCTTACAGGGAGGTCTGTTCATTTTCAGAATTTTTACGTATGTATTTATCTATGCATGCTTCGTAATATTTAGTATTTTTTCTCCTAATGCACAAGTATAGGTCATTTCTACATGTGAATTAGATACTCTAAAAAGTCATGTGATTAAAGATGATAAACTGATAATTATATTATCTGGCTTATAAAGAGTATACATCTGTTTTTATTGTGGTTTCAGACATAACTGATGATTTTATATCAGGACATTTGATAAATCTGTTTTATATTTATTAATTTTAAAGAGAGATCAATAATGATTTGACATGACAGTTCCAATATGAGGATTTTTATTTAATTCATAAAGCAAAGATAGTATTTTGAAAATTAACCAAAGGCCAATGACAAAGTAATAAGATTTAGGTTTGAATTTTAAAATTTAGACTAATATATTATGGATACATTTGTAGTATTTACATGATTTTCAAGTTTTTATTTGCTTTATGTTGAAAAAAAATGAAATCACTGATAATATATTTTCTTAAAGATTGAACTTCTTTAATATGAAAAATAGAACAAGAACTCCAGTGTTTTGATTATAGAAATATTCTTGTAACTTTGTCATGTTTCTCAATGTATGTTGGTTATCTCTTTGTTATTAACAGAACTAGAAGTTGCAAGGCTGAGCACAGAAGGAAACTTAGAAGACCTAAAATTTCCAGAAAATATGGCCCATGGAAGCACTATCCAGCTTTCTGCAAATACTTTAAAGCAGAACGGCCGCAATGGTAAATTAGAGTTTATTTTTTTATGCTTAATAGTATTGAACTTGCATCAATTCATTGCTTCTTGGCTTGGAATATAAGATCCACTATCTGAGACATCTCTCTCTCCCTTATATCTTTCTCATTCTCCTGCTTTCCTTCTTCTTCTTATCTACTGTACCATCAATATGACAATACTATTTATTCTGCAGAATTCTCTTGTCAGATTTGGAAATTCTTCCATTGCTTTTCAGTTGTGAGAAACTTGAATATGAGGAAAATTATGAGCCCCAAAACCCAGATGATATGATTATTCTTCAACAGATTTATCTTTGTAAAATTTTCCATTTAATTTTACTAATAATTTTTAAAGTACATATAGTTTTTTCATTCAGTATCTTTTTGAGAATTTCTATACTTTTTCTTTGCAAAGCATCAGAAAATTTAAATGTAAAGAGATACTTAGGAGCAAATGGAACTGGTTTATATAGGTCAGCCTAGCTTACTGCTAGATTGAATTCACTGAAAAAAAAAACCTAAAATTCAATAAATAAGTAATTTTATAGAGAAAGTACATCCCAATTTTTACCAATCTTAAAATTTTAAAATCATGTTTTTGCTAAGACAGGGAGATCTTTTAACCTGTGATATAACAGGGGGTGAGGGGAAGGGTGACTTCAGGCCATAGCAACGTATTGTGGGGTGAATGGTTTTTAAAAAATAGATCATGTTAAACATTGTCAAGAAAAATTATATTTATTGTCATCAGAATAAAATGCTTTATTAGTGCTAGAAGTCTTAGAAGACCGAACTAATATATTACTATTATGTTGCTCATTGGACTAAAGAGATTTTTTGAAGCGACAATAAGATTATATACAATCAAGTTTAATTCCTGAGTAATTCCTGAGTTATCCTGTAACTGTTTTCTCCGCTTTTGCTCCTGTCCTCAATAATCATTTTCTGTTGAGAAGGGGTCCTTCCAGAAACAGAAATCTGACCAGTTCATCTTGGGTAACACTTAGAATGAAATCACGTGACTTTACTGGACCCACCACATGCTTCTTGGTCCACTTCTTCCCTACCTCATTTGTCCCAGCTCATGCCTATCTTAGCATACCCTCTGTGATCCAAGTAAACCCAGTCTTATTCCTGTTTCTCACACATAGTGCTCAGGCTCCTACATCAGGTTTTTGTGCGGGTTCTTTTCTTTCTTCTTAAAATGTAATTTTTTTGTGATAGCAGCCTCTCCATCATTCACTTCTTAAAAAAATCTTACCTCTTTAGGGAAAATCCTCCTCATGTCCTCTAAGGTAGATCACTCTTTCTCAATCACTCTTTTCCCATTAGCCATGTTTATGCCAATGCTTCTCCATAGCATTTGTTCTTTTGCCATTATAAGAAATTATATTAGTATTAATATTATTTTTTTACTGCCTGCTTAATGTCTGACTCTCCCTCTAGGCAGTAAACTCCATGAGAACAGGGACTTCATTTGTTCTTATTACTGACATAATCCTACTACTTTAAACAATGCCTGGCACTTTAGTGTGCTCACCAAGGACACATTGCATAAATGTGTGAACCTTCAGACACAAAGCAAATGAGGACTGAAATATGTCATAATTAGATGCGATGGTAACTGGACATCAAAACATAAGTGAAAATTGGGATGAATTATCAATTGATCATAAGATAATTAAAATAAAAATTTATAATATTAAGCTTTTGCCTTTCAAAAATCGGCACTTATAAAATCTAAAGGGAAAGAGCTAAAATTATTCTGTTGTAAGAGATAGCAAATTCTTAGTGAATTACTAGTATTTATATAGTACTATGTTGACATATAAAGATTAAATAAGATCTCCTTCCTTGTGTAGCTCTCATTATAATCTCTTTGCTGGGTTATTGAAAGGAAAAAGAGTCCCGTGATATATGTCTCAGAAAACAGGCTGACAGCAGCCTGTACCACAGCACAGAATCTACTATGAGATGTCTCTGCTGCCACATTTTGGGAACAGTAACAGAACTGCTGCTGCTGCTGTTGCTGCTATTTCTGCTCTTCCTCCTGCTTTTTGTATCACTAGCTCTTCATCTACAGAATGAGAATACAGCATCTGTTTAGATGCAGCTAGCTGAGAGGTGCCCAGAACAACCTGTTTGCAAGGCAAGACAGGAAGGCAAATATATGTAAATTTTGCATCTATAAATCCCTAAGCATAACACATTTCTCAAACATGGGAGTACAGATTAGATGTTAGACAGCCACCCCTCTTTATATTATAGAGGGTTTTTTTTCTTTTTTTGGTCTGTCATTCCATTCAACTGAATTCTCTCTCTTTCTCTACTTAACTCAAAGATTCAGAAATGGGGACTGTGATTTCCTCATCTCTGTAGCCACAGTGGTTGGACAGTGTCTGTCTCTTGGTGAACTGGTATGCCTGTATACTGGAAGTAACACACAGGACTTGAGTCCCTGCCCCTTTTCCCCATCCAAGGAAATGATACCTAAAAGTATAGGTAAAGTTTTGGTATCCTTAAAAAAAATTGCAATTGAGATATAAATAGCAAATTAGCATGTAATAAAATACACAAACTTTTAGTGTTTAGCTTAAGGAATTTGACCATCGTATATAACTCTGTAAAGTCACATAAAACAAAAAAATAAATTTCTTTCTATTACCCAAAATATTCCCTGGTGTTTCTTACCACTCTTTTTATTTTCTGTGCCTACCTAATGAACCTTTCTTCTCATTATTATTTTACAGACACAATTGTCCTATTCTTAGATTTCATATAATCACATATTTTATACATATGTACTGTTTCCTCTCTGGATTCTGTAACTCAATAAGATATTTTTGACATTTTTGTCATTATGTCCTATAGTTTGTTCTTTTTGTCGGGGGTAGTACTGGGGATTGAACTCAGGAGCACTCAACCACTGAGCCACATCCCCAGCCCAGTTTTGTATTTTATTTAGAGGCAGGGTCTCACTGAATTGCTTAGTGCCTTGCTTTTTGCTGAGACTGGCTTTGAACCCAAGATCCTTTGCCTCAGCCTCCCAAGCTGCTAGGATTACAGGCATGTGCTACTGCGCCTGACTCTTATAGTTTGTTCATTATTGATGCATAGTAGATTCTATTATCATATGGGGCTCTTATGAATAAGAATTCTGTATTAAAGTTTCCTTATACAAATTTTCTTCTTTGTGGATATATGCTTTCACTTACTAGGAAGAGAATATATATGTTAACCTTTAAAAGAAATTGCCATTTTTCTTAGTAATCAAACATTTTAACACACCTAGCAGCAATGTACAAGATTTCCAATTGCTTCACATCCTTACTAACATTATTGTGGTGAATCTCTATTAAAAATTCTAGTTGGAAAGAAATGCTACCTCAAAATTTTAATTTCTATTTCCCTAATTACCAATGACACAGATCATTTTTCATATGTATCCTGGTCTTTCACTTATGTTTTAAGAATTTATTTATGACTTTTTCCATTTTAAAATGTTCTTTATTATTTAATTGTTGACTAGCAGAAATACTTTATAATTACATGAGTCCTATCTTTTTACTTCATTTGTGCTTTGCTTTTCATTTTCTTGATATGTTTTGATAGATTCAAATTTTAAAATTTGATACAGTTCCGTTTACCATTTTGTGATTTTTGTCATTTTTAATCCAATCTAAGTCATTTTCCCTTTCTCAAAGTTAAAATGTATCATTCTATATTTTGTTTTAGAGGCTTTATGGTCATGCTCTTATGCTTAGGTCTATAATCCATCTAAAATTCAGTTTTGAATATGGAGTAAAATAGAATTGAGTTCATTTTTTAAAAATACGGATATGTAGTTATTTGTGTAGAATTTGACTTTCCTTTTCTCGTGAATGATTTGGAATTTGGTGCTTGATTTTTTAAATTGTTTGTAAAGATTTGATTGGTGTCTAATTAGAATTAATTTAAATACAATGTACAAACTGATCAGTGTTTTTTTTCCCAACATGTACACATTTCCATTTACTTCAGGAGAGATCAGAGTGGCCTTTGTCCTTTATAACAACTTGGGTCCTTATTTGTCCACGGAGAATGCCAGTATGAAGTTGGGCACAGAAGCTATGTCTACAAATCATTCCGTTATTGTCAATTCACCTGTTATTACAGCAGCAATAAACAAAGAGTTCAGTAATAAGGTTTATTTGGCTGATCCTGTGGTGTTTACTGTTAAACATATCAAGGTAAGAATGTTAAGATTAATTATCCACATTTTCCATGTTCAATATAACTTGAATATTAAATTAATTTTCTATTAATATCTTTCTATTATTTAACATATTACAATTCATTATCAGCAAGATATGGTAGTGCTGTTTTTTTGTTGGGGGAGAATAAGTAGATCATAGCTACTCTTGCAAGAAAAACAGAAGATAATGTTTGTGTAAGATGATGGATATGTTTTGTGTTCTCTACAATAGTAATCTTTTTACTATTATGTGAATTCAATAACATCATATTGTATACCTTAAATGTACAATATAAGATTTTTTTAAAATGAGCTAGCCATACATTAAAAGAAACTGTAGAGCCATATGATGTTGTAAGTAATTATGTCTTTGTGTGAAGATAGTTTTGCGCATATAAAAAAAATTGTAGTTGTAAATTCAACAAATATTTCTAAAGAACATCCTTTCAGAAGTTTATTGTTCCTAGCAATTTATTTCTTTACTATGAAACTGACATTAATTGATATGATTCAGAAATATTGATATTAATATTATTAATAATAATCATTTAAAGAACATTTAACCTCTAATAAGATAGAATAAACCACAGACATTCAATTTTTCTTAGAACTGATGAGTCCCACTTCATATGAAAACATTGTTTGATATCACTACAAGAATTGGAATGGAGTATGAGACTGTGTAATATATGAATAAAATGCTTACCTAATTTATATGATCATCAGGTAGTTATTACCTTTTTTTTTTTGCCATAGCAGTCAGAGGAAAATTTCAACCCTAACTGTTCATTTTGGAGCTACTCCAAGCGCACAATGACAGGTTATTGGTCAACTCAAGGCTGTCGGCTTCTGACAACAAACAAGACACATACTACTTGCTCTTGTAACCACCTAACCAATTTTGCAGTACTTATGGCACATGTGGAAGTTAAGGTAAGATATATGTCTTGCAACACAAATTCTTTAGCATGCAATAAGTTTTCTAACTATAAAAAATCCTAAGTATATGAGCCAGTCTCACTTCAGTATCTCTCCACTTTTATGGTAATTCTGTCCATAAACTCTTTTTCTTTTTAATTTTTTTAATTCAATTGTGAGGATTGAACCCAGGGCTCCCACATGCTAGGCAAACACTCTGCTTACTGAGCTACATTCTCAGTTTTTCCAGAAACTCTGGCATTCAGGCCATATCCTACTAGATGTTTCAAAGAACTAGTTCTCTTTTCCTATTACTAATATAATTCATAAAATTGAAATGTGCTTAATAAATGTTCTCTAGTCTCCTGATTTTCATTTTGTGTAATAAAACAAAGAAGCATATGTTCACAAACAGGTCAAGATAAGACCCGAGGTCCAGAGATTAACAGAGTTGTTTTAGGAAGCTGGGATTGGATAGCTTGTAGAGTAAAAGGCTATGCATAGGATTTAGTTCTGTTAAAGTGCCTCCCGGGAAAGCAACTAATGAGCATAATATATACAGAGCATGGTAATACAGAAGGATTGTCAAATTCTAACAGTGAAATGGGTTATGCTTATTCAAGATGATGCTAACCTTAGGAAAAATCTAGATGACAGGTAGTTTCCACAGTCAGACACGTGGTTAAGGGCTATATCAATTTCTTCCTCAGATGAGTGGTTTTCATATATGGAGACCGATCAGAGATGGAGACTGTAAGCTTGTAAGGAAAAGAATGGCTAAAAGGGTTTGAGGGTATCAAACCAAACAGGAGAACTGTAAAGGGAAGAGATGTAGTACAAAAAGCACAAAACAGTTCAGTGCCTCAGTGGTAGGTAAAATTAATTTTGAAACATTCAGCTTACGGGAATTTACATTGTTGGAAACTTCTGTTTTTGTTCTAAGCAAGATACTTCAAGAGTAATCGAGAATGCTAATACCTTGCTTCCGTCATTAGAATAGTTTAGGAACTAGGGTTGACGTGGATCCCAGTATAAGTGCAACCAATAATTAGAGCTGAAAGAAAGCTAGATTATATAAATTGTGTGACATAATAAATGGACAGTTTTCTAGGGTTTCAAATAAGATGGCCATTGAGAAGCATACTTTTTTTTTCTGAAACATTTAAAGAATCATAGACTAAACAATTACACTTAAAATCTGAAAATGTAGCTTACTTTATTTTCTAAAAAAATTTTTAATGAATTAAATATAGTTTAAAATATATCAGTTATGATTTTTTAAAATTATTAGTCTTATGTAAATTATAAAAGGTGGCCATTAGAACTGCCATTGATATTTTTCTTTGGGTAGGGTAAAATAAAGCATGAGAATTTTATGCAAAATTTTAAGCTTCAATTTTCATAGCATCTTACAGTATACTATCATTGTCCTAATTATTTGATATACATTGCATTATAGAAGGAAAATGACTTCTTAAAACCTTGGATTGGCTTTGCAAAGATGACAGTCTTTTATGCAGTTAACAAAATTTTCATTATATAAGTTAAGGTTACTTAGCTGTTCAACTGTAGTAAATGATATTTTCAAGGCATTTGTCATTATAGATTGAATGAAATATGAAATAACATGCATTTTTAATCATACTTGTCAGGTTAGCATGTATTTGTTTAAAATGTATTTCTTAGAGTATAATAATTTGAAAAACAAGATAAATGTTGCCCTCAAGAGATTGACAGGGTTGTTTTTGTTTTGTTTTGTTTTGTTTTGTTATGAGACATAGGCAAATAGCTACATCATAATAAGGTAACCATAAGAATGAAGTTTGTACAATCTACTGTGAGGAAATGGAATATGTAAAGTCAGGAAATTTTTTAGATTGTGGGTGATGATTTACAAAATGTGTAATAAGAGATTAATGAATTAACCAGAAAAGTTGTGAAGGCTATTTCAATCAGAGACAACAGTATGAATGGAAACTGAAGATGTTACATATCATGGTGTGGAGAGCATGGTACAAAGACTTTAGGGTTAATGTACCATAGGTACAGTGTGGATAGCTAGCAGTTGGTGATGAACTGAAGAGTTGGGCAGGACTGTGGCATAAAAGGCCTCAAATAGAAACCCAAATGGGCCCGACATCTGTAAATTCAGAGTAGGAGTCTGAATTGATGCTCACATATCACATGTATGGTATGTCTAAACATTATAAGTAATAAATGAAGCTCTAAAAGACGAAATATATCCTGACCTAACACAACATAACTTTATATTGACTGAAGACACAATCTGAATTTAGAATTCTCAGAATCTCCCAGTTCTGCTTCTGAGCATTGCCATGTACAGCAAGCCTCTGGCTCCCACTCAGTGGTTCTCCCTGCCTCCTCAAAAGTATGATGCCCCGGCAAGGGCTGTCTTTCCAGGGTCTCAGAGTATACTGGTGGTGTGAGTCTTTGCTGTTATTTTACAGGCAATTAAGAAACAATATTTAGCTAGATGTGGTGGCACACAGCTGGCAAACAGTCAGAGGCTGAGGCAGGAGAACTGAAAATTTGAGGCCAACCTCCATAATTTAATGAGACTGTTTCAAAATAAAAATGATTGGTGATGTGCTCAGTGGCAGTGCACCACGGGGTTCAATCTTTGTTGTCACAAAGGCAAAAAATAAGGAAGGAAGGAAGGAAGGAAGGAAGGAAGGAAGGAAGGAAGGAAGGAAGGAAGGAAGGAAAGGAGGGAGGAAGACAGAAAGGGAGGGAGGGAACAATTACTAGATTTCTAAACAAAAATAGCACTGACTTACTTTGTATTTTCCATAGATTATACCCAATACTCTGTGGATGATGGATGTGAAAACTATTAGATTGCCTCTGTTGTGACAGTTATTTCACTAGTATTGGTAAAGGAAGTCCTAAACTAAGGTTGTCATGGTGGCCATGAAGAGGATTTATATTTAAAAGATAGGTAGGACATAAAAATACAAAATCTATATAATCCTTGATTTATAGAGTGTGATAGATGAGCTAGCAACAAGAAGCTACATACTTGTGAATTCCCATCACCCTGATATCAGTGAAAAGAGAGGAAATATTAATGTTCAACACACTTTAAAAATTGAAAACTGTGACAAAGTTGTTATTTACCTTACGTCACTGACACAAATCAGTTCATCCAAAAAATTTTTTGTTGTTGTCTAGAATTTAGAAAGAGAGGGTGTGGGCACCCCAGAGGGAAACCACATACACATCCATTTAGCAACATAAAAGCAAAATTATCTCAGCTGTGTCAGCGGAGTTCAAATGATATTCTTCAAAGGGATATAAACCTCCTTTTGTCAAAACATCACAAATTGATTTAGTTTAGCAAGATTGACTATACTGACAAATGATAGACTTAAATTTGGAATGTGTTCATCTGGTTCTAGAATTCTATATTTCAACTTACAGAATAAACTCAGGAAAAAAAATGGATCAAATTTGAGGCAACAGCCAAATACCTTTTTTCTTTTTCTTTTTTTTTTTTTTTTGGTAAAGCTCATTGCATATTAACTGCTCCCCCAACCCATTATAGAAGAATCATGACCTTGACCACTATTGTGTGTCAACAAGACATAAAACAAATGGAAATCAATATTTTCCTATATCGGTCAATCGCACAGTATAAAATGAGTCTTAAATTTCTTATATCACAATCTCTTTTGATTGCCTGAGTCAGTCCCATTTTGTTGTCCCCATAACTTAGTTTTTTCACTTTAATGATCAAAAACAAAAAAACAGGAAATAAGGAGACTGATCATCACTAGAAATCTAAAATGAAACACACCAACCAAATTTACATTAGACTAATGTCTAAAATAGACATTTAAATTATTCACACATAATGAGAAATGCAGCAGCCAGTTGGAACAGATACTTATATCTACTAGTTGTCACTTTCTAAATCCACAGGAGAATCTGTAAAGGAAACAAAATGATATTGGAGAATTTTGCTTGATGAATTTAGAAAGAAGTAGCTGAATAATTTTGACATGAAACTGTGGTGCCCTATTGCATTCATCTTCCTGCAGGGCTCTACCTGTGTCTGAATTGCCCTTATCCATCTATCTATCATGTGTGCTATTGCTACTCTTCAATCAGCCCTTCCTTCATTCTTTTATCCACATTTTTGAGCAATAAGATAACCATCATAAAGAATATTGACTTATTGCCTAATATGCAGCAGGGTCTCAATAAATCTAACTTCCTCCTTCCTGTTTGTGTGATATATTATTAGATTCCAGCAATTCTGTTGGAAACTTCTGGCCCTCAAGGACTCACATTTTTGAGCAGGAGTAGGGCTAGGAAGAAGAGCAGAGAAACGAAGATGCAGCTGCAGACATAATTTTGATAATTATTGAGGCCTACGCTGTGATTTAGGGATGTAATAGAGGATGATCTTTCTGAGGCAGGAGTGCTTAGAAAGGGTTTATCACAAAAGTGTCCTGTTCTGAAGGATGAGTGGGATAGACGAAGTAAGGCAATGTGTGGAGAATGTGAGTGGGCCACATTTTTGCAGTACTTTCTTCCCTTCGTCTTGGTACACTACTTTTTCTTGTTTCTTTCCTTCCTTGTTAATGAGTCTTCCATAGTTTCCTTTGCTGGTCTCCTGTTCCATGACATCTTGTGTCTCTCTAGCCTAAGGTATAATTCTAAATATCTCTTTTTTCTCCCTAGGTGATCTTCTTTAGTCGTATGGCTCTAAATATACTTTTATGGTTCACAGATTTCTATCTCCACTTCTTAACTCTAGACTCACAGATTTAACTATAATTTGATATGACTACAGGTGCTCTAGACTTAGGTTGTAATTATATACCAATAAAGCCATCATAAATTAATATATCATAAGTCAAAAGTGCATTTAGTGCACCTAACCAACCCATCAGCATAGCTCCTCCTTGCCTACCTCAGATATGCTCAGAATATTTATGTTAGCCTATATCTGGGCAAAATTGCCCAACACAAAGCCCATTTTGTAATAA